TTTCACATGATGTGCGCTCTCATTGACCATATCCGGTGCGCCAGCTCTGATGTGTGCGTTCAAGTGTCACGATCCGAAAATAGATATACAAAGACGTCAAACTGCGATGAGCAACAGTCACGTACGTCTTTCTCAGATTTTGACGTCTCCTGTGTTTCTTTAGAGTAAAGACGCACTAAAAAGGGAATCTATAGAACTATTTTGTATAATGATCTTCCTAGCGAACACAAAAGGAAAACCACAAAGAAAATCAATTGATTTGCATTCATYAATAACTATTGGGTCTCCTGTGTAAACTTCGCAAAAGACTGGGAAAAGCGCGCGAAAACTGCTATATATAAATTAATAGGACTGCGGGAGATCATCCTTTCTTCAGAAGCTTTTATATGATAGTTGCTGAATTAATTGTGCTGTTTTTAAAAATCTATGATGCTTGGTGGTAAAAGGTTGAAGATGGACTTCTCAGCAAAAGAAGTGGTGAGACGGGCAATGGATATCAAGCTGGAGATGAGTAGAGTTTGCCCACCAAATGTATATAGTTGGTTGAAGGTTGTAGCCAAGTCAAGGAATACAATGCCAGAATTCGTCCTCTTAAGTGCCATCCTCACCACTGCTGCCTTAATGGGTCCGGCCTCAACGGTTAAGGTTCGCTCTACGTATTCTGAGCCCATTAACTTATACAGCATCATCTTGAGTCCGCCGGGTTCAGGCAAATCACAGGCATTCGATCTGACAGTGACATCGCCATTAGCGTTATTGGACGACCCGCCACCGAGCATCGTTGTGGGCGACCACACGAAATCTGGGCTTACTCGGCATCTAGCCAATAATCATGGCGTTGCAATAATTGGAAGCGATGAACTGAGTACCTTCATAGAAGGCTTATGCCAAAAGAAGAAAGAAGACGTACAAGAGAGGGCATTTCTGTATAAATTGTACGATCGTCGAGGTGACATGGGCTCGTACTTTTACGAGTACGGCAATTGCACCCTGGAGATCCGGGAAAGTCGGATATGCATTGCAGGTTTTTCTCAGGCAGAGGAATTTGTACGGCAGTTTGGAAACCTGCAGATGAGAAAAGATGGCTTCCCGGATCGGCTGCTTTTCGCAGTACCCKAGCCACGGCTACTTACAAACCAAKAGGTTKACGACTGGGCTGACAAGCTGGCTAACTTCAACATCACTGACTTCTCGGATGT